GTTCTTAGGCTACTTTAACTCTGTGTGAGTCTCTATTCCACGTAGAGTTCAATGTCTTTCTCCTGTTCCTGTACTTGCTCACGGTCTATTACAAAGTTTACCGGTCATTGACCAATATTTCTGTTCTGGCATCATAAATGGGCATGGCTTTTTCTGCTCAGTGTTTGTCTAAGCAGGCATTGTCAGAAGGGGGGTAGAAGGCAGTAAATACCAATGCTGCCATAACCAGGAGCTCCAGAGCCACAGTGAATCAGCTTAGTAAGAAAGAGTTACAAGTCTCGTGAGTAAACTGCTAGAAAATATTTCCACAGGAAGAACTTCATAATCCGGTTTGGAACATTTCTCGGAAGAAACAGTATGAAGGCCATAGTTCTTTCTAAACAGTATCTAATTATCCGCATATTACATTAATATGTATTAGAGTTTTGTTATTGCAACTTAGAGACCTGAACTGAAAATCTGATGAAGACATCATTTTATTTTGTGTATTCCTGGACATCATATGACAATAGCAGCAGAGATTCAAACAATTCATTACTTCTCATAATGCTTTCACTGTTACTAATAAAAGGACAAATAAATTTACTTTTAAAATGCACAAATTCCACAAGAAAATGGAAATTCAATATCTAATATAAAACTCAATTAAAACATCTGATTTGATATCACTTTGTTGTCTGGCAGTTTAGCTCAGATACAAAGATATTGCTGTTTTTCTCGACAATTTTAAGTAGAAAACTTTTAAGATTATATAAATTTGTTAGCAAGGGGAGAGTTAAATCCTTTGAGAACAAAAGTTTCATCCATAATAATGTTTTGTTTAAACTTCAACTTGTGTATATCGAAAATTGGACTGGACTTACACTCCCAAATACAGTTCTACATGTAAACAGCAAATGGTATAAACAACTCACTCTTTATTAGCCAAAGTGACCAATTTCTAGAAACAAGCCAAGGCAGAGATACATATACATGTAGGTTTGTGTTCACATACACACACATGCATGAAAGTGTTCCCAGAATTGCCACCAGAACCTTGTCCCTTAAGGTACCCTAAATCTGTATTTACTCTTTTGAATCCATGGAGTTTCTTTTTCTTTAATACAGTGCATTATAGAAAACACATACCAAAAAAAAAAAGAATGAAACTGCTCTCACAGTGCTCCACAACAGTTTTCATGTCCTCAGCTTCTGAAACATTTAAGATTATTAACTTGCTGGCAGGCTCCCGAGGAATTTTAAGGCATCTGTGCCTGTGCTACTTATTTTAAGCTCTGTCTTCCAATATTATGAAATCAGCAAACTCTCTTGACCTTCTTAGTAATTCCATTTCATGTGGTTCTGGCTTTCAGGCAGATTCAAGGATGACATAATCCTCTTTTCCCACCCCCAGGTTTTGGATCGTTGCCATTGGTTACACCCTTCCTAGTAATGTGCAACGTGAGTCTTTGTCTGATCCCATATGCCCGTAAATGGAAGACAGCCCAGCAAAGATGACTAAAACGCAGTTTCTTGGCGTTCTGTCGATCACCACCATAGGTAGAGTAAGGCTTCTTCAGCTACTTTCCTATCGGTTAGCATTACTTAGGCTACCATGCAGGAATGTCAGCCCAACGTCATGCTGTTTTACAAGGAAGTGGGCTGACTTCCCAATAAGCTTTACTCCTGTTACTGAAGGGAGAGCAGATGTCTTAAATGTAGTAGCAGCAAATAAATGATCTCTGCAAAGTGCTTCTTTTGTATTTTTTACTGGAGCATTTATGCAAATGCATTCAAAAAGTACAGAATTGTTCATTTGTGTAAAAAAACCCTAGAACGTGGCTGGTATGTACTCATAAGCACTATTACAATCGTACTTTGTATTATTAACAATACTGGATTCAAGTACCAAGCTCTACAGCAACAGGATAAACATTACGGAGAAAAGGCACTTTCTGGAGTTTGTTATCAACATCAGAGAATTAGAAGCGATTTACGTTCCAGTCCCACCGCCCGGTCTCACAAAGCCTCTCCTGACTTCCCTGAAGACTGTAAGAGTGTTTGTACGCGTAGGAAATATGGCTTGTTAACACAGCATAGAAAGCAAGGCCTCCAGCTATGCATAGTGCAACGCTAAGGCACTTTTGTCAGGTGAGAGCAGGATGCAGAACGCCTTGTCCTAGACCCAAATTCAGAGTTTCAGAGAAAGAAGTATTCCTTTTCCCTTGGACAGTGCATAATGTGTGCAGTAATGGCACGGCTCAGCCTGCCTTGGCCACTTGCTCCGGACTCACTGGTCCCTGCAGCAGTTCTGAGAAGACAGTGCCTTTATGTGCCTGTTGATCCCTACAGGACAGCACACGGAGATACACCTATCCTTCCCCTTCTACTTTCTGCAGAAGTCTAAATATTTTTCCCTGCAGATTAGCTCTAATGACAACTTGATCTTTATGCCTCTGCCACCAAAAATGTCTAGTAAAAAACAGCATTCATTTCCTAAAGACATTCATTTGCAGGATTTGTCTTCAGAAGACATGCTCTTTACAGTTATGCTTTTCATGCTTGGTCAAATTTTTAAGTACTGTACAGCATCCTGGCTACTTGGACCTCTTAAGCTCAGGACTACTGAGAAGCATTCCTCCAGGTCAGCTTCAGGGCAATTACTTAGTAGTTGGCAATTACATTGCTGCTTTAAGAGCTGGCACTGAACTGCCAGGCAAATAAAAAAGCATGCATCATGCTCAAGGAAACACTAGTCCATGTCCAGAAGAAAAGGAGAAGAATGCATCAAGTTATCACCATAAAAACAAATGACCTAACCTGAAAAGATAAAAAAGTCCTGACTTCTGATTTCTTTCTTTTCTTGGGCAATGAGTCAATTCTGGAAGAAACAACAACTGGGCAATGTGAGGCAGTGACTTGGCATCAGGATGTGCAGTCTCCAGATAGAAGAGGAGAAGCTAGAAGACAGTTCTCATGGGGCTTTTTTTCATGATCAGGTACACTCTTGTATCTCCACTTGGCCCTCTTCTAAGTTCAGTACAGCTGAGAGTTGTGCCTTTCTCTCAGTCATTCCCAGCAGTGCGTGGTAATCCATTTGAACAGATATCTAGCAGGAATAAAACTTGAGATAGGCTAGAAAATTAGACAAATTAATTGTGATGGTCACCAAAGAGTGAAATTTACTGCAACAGGAATTCCATGTGAAATGGACCCAGAGGATTATTTCTTTTTCTGGACTCTGTTCACAGTGCAAGCTACAGTAATATTTTTGTTTCTGTGATAGAGATTACCTGGCTAGTAAGTTACAATATTTTAAGAAAGGGATGATATGAAAATCCTATAAAATTCTACTTTGTTGCTCTTAAAAAATCCAAGGCACTCTAAAATGTGTCCTCTCAAAGCAATAGTTAAGTTCTAGGAAGATTTTACAAATTTATCTGCCCTTTGCTGAAAGAATAAAATGAAAGATTATTTAGATGGCCAAACTCTTATAACTTTACTAAATGTCTTTAAGTGTCTATTTCTTCTAGTAAAGCAGTTATTGTTAATAGCTGTTTTGATACAAAGAAAGAAAATTTGGTTTAGCTGCTGTAGAATTGTGGTTATTTAAAACATTAAATTCACCCATCTACATTAACATGGACTTGAAATATTTTAGTTTCTCATTAATAGCATTACACAAGCACTTTCAAAAATATTTTAAAATCTTATACACCTTATTTTTTTTTACTATATGTAAAGACAAGAGTAGCTATGAAAGTATTCAACTTCTGCCATTATCTCATGACAAGAAGATAATAGGTATTTCTCTAGAAAGACAGTACGAGTATTTGTAAACAGATAGGTAGGAAGTTTATGTCATGATAGACTCTATCAGCTGATATTTTATTTATGGAGCAGATGAAGGTTAAGAATCCAGATTGCTTATCCAACCTTCTTTAACAACCTTACCAGTGGGAACACTTGGGGCGAATCATCAGCTAGAATCATCACCCTGCAGTGGTCAATCTTAATGGAAAACCAGAGCCTGAATCGCTGGCTAGAGCTGAGCACCACCGCACAAATATTTTCTGTGCTGATTTTAACAATGCTCATGTCCTTAGTAGGTCTGCTTTTTGATAATATTCTAAAAAAATATTGTCAAGAACATTGCAAAAACAAAACAAGTACACTTATTTAGCAGCATATTCACACAAATCTAAAGCTGAATTTCTTTTTTAAAATAGTGGTAATAAAGGGTGATTCTGTGAGTAACACCGAGTTAATTGATAGAAAATATCAGATCATCCACCCACACATCAAAACAACCTGTGCTGAAAATAGTACATTGTAACAAGTGACTCATGACGGATTGTACTCCATACTGGACAGGTAAAAAAATGCATTTGTCAAATTAATTATTGTTAAAGCCATGTTCTCCTCACTCTTTTTAAATTTCCCTCATGTCCAGTGCAAACACCCCTGCATTTAGAAGAGCTGAATTTAGTCCTGAGATGTCAAAAGATGAAAATAAAACAAAACAAAATAAGCCTTTGGAAATTTTGGTATTCATAATCAAAAAGACAAATTCCTGTACTAGATATGTTTCAGCAGGTAGGTGTGATGACAGTTTTCATCCATGTATTAACTGCTTACAAATCTCTGTTCCCATTTAAATTTGCAATAAAACTTTTACTGACTTGAATGAGGGAAGTAAGAGTAATCGAGCCTAATGTACTGAAAATCCCATTGCTAATTTTCAAACAGTTGAACATAAGGAGTGCTCATGGTGCCTACATACTACTATATTATTTATTGTACCATCTGGTTATTTTCACTTCATAGAAGAGACTGCACTGTTGAGCTGCAGCTGACATTTAAATGTTGGTTTTAAACCATGTAAGATTTCTTATTTAAAAATAAACTTGGAAGTTTGGAAAGAAATTAAATAAGCCTATGGATTAAATCAATTTTACTGACAGTTTTTGCCTCAGACAAATTTTTTTAAAGGCTATCTCTCAGACAGAAACAAGGCTGCTTCATTCATTCATGGGCAGTACTTTGGCTCCATGTGCATTTATATAAGTAAGAAGAATTTTGGACCTCCTTTCTATTACATCAATAAGCTTTTCAATTCCTTTTCTGCCTCCTTGGCTCTCCCAGTATATTTTGTCAAGGAACAAAGACTGTAGCAACTTCTCACGTAAGCGCTGGCTCCTCAGCACCGAAACTGCAGATTCAGGAAATCTGGAAAAGCACAAAGAAATCATCAGCTTTGCCATCACTCTGAATTGCAATATTTATGTTGTGGTTTAGCAATCAGTTCTATGGATATAGACTGCGACTCAGCAAAGGAAGTCCATGCACGGCTAATCATATGCATGTTAATTGTGTCTTTTACAGCAGTGGGATTACTCATACATTTTTAGATGCATCCCGTAAATGTCTTGGGCCAACGATATCTATTCCAGTAACTTAGTGTCTCATGCTCAAACTGAAAAGAAATTATCAATCTTTATACAAAATTAAGAACTTAAAACTTACTCATTGATTCCTTGTAGTATTTTGAAGTTAAGATTGTCCTCGCTTCTGTCAAAGAAACCCTTATTGTCTATAAAGGCCAAGTGCCTTCGGTCATGTCTTCTCTGAACTATGTGTGTCAGGTCAACAGCATCCTGATCGCTACATTTCAGCTTCAGTCCTTGCTGCATGCAGGAATCCTCCTTGAGAGGTTTGAATCCACAGCAGTTTCTATCTAGACGATTATAGATCTAAAATGAAGCACAGCAGAGTGCCAGGTAAAAACAATATCAAAGTATTTGGTGCAAAGTGTCACTGTAAGCCACCGCTCACTGACACAGCTGACAGGAAAGCAAGCCCGGGACAAGCATAATTAAAGTCAGTAGTGAAATGGCATTGAAGACCTGGTCCCCATACTTCACATACTGCTAGAAGCAATTTCCCAGACTCTGTATTTCATCCATTTTCTAGCCATGATTTGTTACATCAGTGGAAATTCTTTGAAAATAATGGAACAATACCACTGTGTAACTGGAATAACAAGATGGTGAATACAATTCTATTTTTTTTCAGAAGGCTGTAGTTTTTTTACATTTTCTCTGTTGGAGAACAATAGAAATTGCACAGCCTGACGCACACAGAGGGTCTCCATTTTGTGGGACCTATTAGACTAATAGTACGCAAAATAAACAAACGGATTAGTAAGGGGCACAGCAAACCATCAGAAGCTACAAAATGCAAGAAGAGTGCATTTATAATCACAGAGCAGCCTCCCTGAGTTGCACGGTGGTATATACTTTAATGACTTGATGGTCTAGGCTATTTTTTCCCATGTGAACCCTCACTTATTTATTACACAGCACTTAGCTGGAAGGAATACATCTGGTCTAACTTTAGTGGTGTAAATGTTAAGCATCTTTTCTGACTTAGCCATTTATGTTCCCTTTCATAAACAATGACAAGAACAAGGCACCCCCAGAGCAAAGGATGCCATTTTAGGATAACCATCGAATACAGGAAGGATAAATCACTCGTTGAAAGTGCTTCTACCCCTGTTGACTAGACAAGAGCAAATACACAACATTGCCAGGGTCCTGAGTGCACAAATAGGCCTTAATTGCCCTAAGCACTCTCACCTGGGTCCTCCACAGGGACACCCCACACACCTGTGGGCCCAGGAGCCCTATTTAAGCTCAAGCCTGGCACCTCAGCCTTCCTCTGAGCCCTTTGGGATGGTGGTGGGGTGTATCTGCTGCTTGTCCTGCTACCTGATGCTCCTGGATTGCTGCTTGCGTCTCCAGCTCATCAGTGTCAGAGCTGGCTTGCTGCTTTGCCTGTGTCTGATGCTCGCTGGGCTATCGATGGGGACTTGTGGCTTTCACCATCTTTCTTGCTCTCCTGCCTGCCGTGGGGCTGCCCTGGGCTCCAGCTCATCTCCCCAGGGAGCAGCCCTGCTCCTGTGGACAGGGGCTTACAGAGTGCAAGTCTGATCAGGTGCCCCTAAGGCTGAATGAGTAGCTTATCAAAGGTAAATAATTTTTTCTGTCCCTGTTTGTTGTATGCTGCTAACTCTTCAAATGTCTCTAAGCATAAAAGAATTAATGTTCATATAAGCCTTCTAAAATTACAATTTTATTTTTGTGGCACCCCAGTGAAATGAACTGTTAGGACTTTTCTCCTGATGTAGAGCTGTGTTGCATGTTGAAAATGCCTCCTAATTTTGTTCATCAAAGGTAAGTCTGAGAGCTGTTTTGTTTTTTCTTAGGTAAGTAGTATTGTTGCTACCAGTCTTGGTGGCAGTGTTTGTTTTCAACTGTGAAAATCCCAAAGAAAGGACTAGATTTCTCTTCTTCTTTCTCCTTTCCTGAGCAGCATTCAGCATCTGCAGGCACTAGAGCCTCCCTTGCTTGCAGTGTTCTAGCTTGGGGGATCTCTCATTCAACTTGTCCAAAGGCTTTGCCCAAAAATGAAGCAGAGGCCTTCCAGACAGACTCCTTTGATGTATAGTACTAATTCATCTGCACTGCACTTCATTACATGCATTAAATAGATGAGGAGTTCATGTTCTCATAGACAGCCTCTTCATAATGTCTTGCGTCATTCCAGTGTTGAGACAGAATGATGGGACACTCTAGAATTGATGCTGCAACCTTAACAGTTTAGCATTGGGTTTTGTCATATATTTATGTACATGAGAGGTCCAAACACCCCAAATTAAAGAAGCCATTTTATATTTAATGTCCTTATTTTACTTGAGTTCTTGCAGAAGGTGAGTAAAGGTCAGCTATAAGCATTTTTTAGCCTGCTCCTATATTTTATAGCGTTTGAAACCAGAGATTAGGAACATCTATTACAGGCATGAAACTCATTTTTCTGAGGGAAGTATGTTTAACAGAGAATACTTTTCACCATTATTCTTTATTTCTGAATGACTCATGAAGCACAGATTTTTTTTTTTAAACTCAGAACCCCTTCTTGTTACTTTTTGTTTTAGAGTCTTCATGTTCCACTGCCAAGGAACTTTAAAGTTAAGTCTGAGAGCACCCAAATAAAATTTTAATCCTCAAGAACAGTAAGACCTACTTTCACTCACTTTATGGTATGCATGTTCTTGTCTGGTAGGCAACTGGAGGTATAAATCACTCTGATACCGGCTACCCTTGTAAGAGTAATTTGTTTCTTTATTTTATATACAGTTCAATCCTGTTGTATCTTATTTGAGCTGACCTCTCCTTCTGGATAACAGGACTTCTATTATGAAGTTTAAAAACTTGTCTTAGAAGACCTTAAAATTGGAAATCAACACAGAACACATTATAATTTTTAAACTTTTCAACAAAAAGACAATGGCACGAAGGCATATTAATTCTAACACATTCTGTAGTATTCCGATAGGGGCATTACTACGTTTAGCATCAGAATAGTCCACATATGGCTTTATACCACTTTCTAAGAATAATTTGCTCCTAGTGGGACTAAAGAGGGAGTCACTAGACAAGTGACAACCTATTTTTAGAGAAGAATTGTATGTTCTGGTCAACATAACATGTCTGTGAAAATGTAACCCCCCAAAAATTGGAAATATTCATTCATCCTAGAGCAGGACTGAGAAGGACAGGGGTAGGCTATGCGTAAACCAAGTCTTGATTTTTATATTTTAAGAAATGTAACTCTACAAAAAGATCAATTATATGAACAACCAAACAGTGTATAAAACTAGTGCTTGCTGCAGCTTCAAATACAAATAGTGTTACATAAACCAGTAAGTGCTGCAGGAGGCTCAGTCACAAGGGCTTGTCTGGCAGGCAAGGACAATTGGAAGCAATGCCATGTCTCAGGAAGCCATGAAATTAGCTTCCAGCCAGGTGGTTCAGTTCAGCCCTTACTAATATAGGGAGTGTATTAATATTCTACTACATAATTGCTGTAACTGTAGCCACACATTATGATATCACTGGGCAGAGTCCTAGTTTGGTGTTAATTGGAGAGCTAATGATTATGTGCAATACCTAACTGAAGAACAGCAGCCATATCACTCATCAGTTGCTGCTTTACCCTTTCCTTATTAAGCCACTGGCTAGGTTTTTGAAAAGAAGGAAAATTAGGCAATATAACTGTTACCTTGATCCAGGTTTCAGCTGACCAAAACTGCTTAAATCACCCTGGGGGCTGGGGAGGTGCAGGAAGGACTACACAGTAAAAACCAGTGATTTACAGTTGTGAACATAATAAAGAACTCTGTTTGGAGAAACAGTATGCCTGTCTCAAGGTGAAGTAAATCAAGATGTCTCAAGACAAAAGCCTTTGCTTC